GGTCGATCAGGGCGTGTGAACAAGATTTGTGCGTAGAATGTAATTGTTAGAAGAAAATGAGGCTCTATCCTGCCTTGAAAGGGTATCGGAGTCTATTGGATGAGTAGAATACGTACCGTTATAGGTGGAAGGGAATAAAAGAGTGGCGCACATGGTGCATCGCCACTGGTGCGGCTACCCCTGCCACTCGAACACTCAACACTGCTCTCTCCAGGGATATACAAATGCAAGAATGTCGAGATGTTTGGGCAGTCAACGGTCTCGAGGATCCAGGGGCATCGAAGACTAGCAAGGTAAGGGCCCTTCTCGAAGGCAAAGCCGTCCAAGACAAAGAGCCTCACTCCGAAAGCACACAAGGCCAATAAAGCAAAAACCTGGAATTCAAACGCTCCTAAAACAAAGGGTCTCCGTTCCAAGGCCAAATCGTCCAGGTCGAGGGCTAGCAAGACAAAGACCATTTCGAAGAACAAGACCCGCGAGTCGAAGGGTGTCTCCCTTGGAAGACTAATAACAAGGCCAAGTCTGCCTCAAAGGGCGAGGCTCCTAGGTCAAAGGACATCACCAAGGCACGCAAGAATAACAAGGCCAAGACGAGCACAAAAGGTAGCACCTCAAAAACCAACAAAGCTGGTAAAAGGCTGAGAGCCGCAAGGACCACCAACTCAAAGAACGTCACCTCAATGCCTAAATCCGGCGCTTGGAAGACTACCACTGGATCTTAGCGCGCGCCGGAAGGCCACCTCAAAAGCCAAGGCTTTGAACGCGAACAAAGTCGAACACAAGGGCAATAAAGACCACCACCAAACATGGTCGCATCGAAGGCTAAATCTTTGCCCGCGAAAATCAACAAGGCCGCACCAAAGGCTAAATCTTCTCCCGTCAAAGCTGTTCCCAAAGTTGTCGCTGCCAAAAAGAGCGGAAAGAAGGTCCGTCGTGACTTGTATTACCTGAAGCAGCCGCTGCACCCAAGCAGGCTGCACCAAAGAAAGCCGCCGCTGCCCCTGCTGCCAAAAAGAGTGGCAAGAAGGGTCGTCGTGACTTGCACTACATCTCCATGAACAGGGTACGAATGGTCAATGATGCCATCGACGCTTACAAGCGTTCGTTCGTCGAAGACGCGTAGATTGTGCATGTTGCACTTATGAATCAGAATCAATTCTAATCCCTTAAATCTCGACCGCGCGAGCCCTCTTAGCAAGACGGAGTATATTCGAATCATCTAGGGTATTTAACAGCGCAGATTCAGTCTACATGTGGAGAGGATCGGATATAACTTGCTATTCAATTTTGATTTGAGATGTTTCCCGGGCCGTCTGGGGCAGAGCTGGGAATAAGGAGTGGCATGAGTGGTGCATCCTCACTGGCATACTGATCCGACGTCGGATCAACACTCAACTCTTCTCCGGAGTGTTCTCCCCGCGGAAATGAAAAGGCAGGGATGGACGGTGAGAGCCTTGGCGGACACGTCCTTCCTAGGATATACCGATGGCAATTGTTCAACAACCGTCTGAAGCAATATGCACCTTCGCCGCAAAGCCAAGCGAGCTCAGGAAGATAGTTGACAAGGATGATTTCGATGCATTGGGTAAATACAGGGGCCATCAGCAAATTGGGATCTGCCCAAGGAGGAAGGCACCCAGTTACGGTGGCAGCTCAGTAGAGTATGGTAAGGATCGTAGGGCTTTGTGTACCCAGCAGGCACCGCCTGAGTGCTACTTACGGTGGTACCTTCCTACTAAACAAATTCATGATGGACATCGAGATGCTTGGCATACAGGATGCACTGCCGACCTGCTCCCACTGTGCAATAACCAACGGCTACTTCACCCCGTTGGTATCTCAAATGTCAGACACTTTCTCCTCGTCGCCTCCGATTTTTGCGTCTGGGAGTAGTTCGACTAGACGCCAGATGGTCAAATGCGTCTCCCTTTTATATAACCCCATCTCCTCCCGTCCTGTTGCAACCCCAGGCTGGTTTCCTCTTTCTTTTTACTTTCAAACTCACCATTGCTTTCCTTCTATAACCCTTTCTTCTCTTCCTTACCATTTCTTTTTTATCCTTTTCATTTTATCTTTCTTATCATCGAGTTCTCTTTTCTTCTGATTCATTCGACAATCAAGCATGAGGGTGACTTCACTCGCTAACCTTGTCCTCCTCTTCTCCACCACCTTCCCCTCCTTCGTCCTCACTCAACCACAACCCGATGAAAGGCCAGATTGGACTGAGGAAGCTCAGGAAGCCGTCGACCGAAATGCTTTGCTCTTTAGAGGTGGAGGATCTGCTACCCAAGGTGCGATCGGGGCGAGGTTACGGCCGCAGGATCTGGGTCCGACTGATCCTGACGACGGGCACGTCATTGTGAATCCGTGAGTGATATTTTGCGTATTGTATTCATGAGCCTAAGTGTGGTGGTATAGGAATGGGGGGATTTCAACGTCGATCACTCCTGATGGAACGGGTCGTATGGGCAAAGACAAGAAGGCCAATATATGGACGTACGTTATATTATGTCTTATAATATCTAAATGTTAACCCCAGTTATAGAAACACACCTGAGAATATAAGGGCAGCCGGATTCGAAGTGCACCCCGACGCCGGTACACGGATGGACCCTCAAAACCCCAACTCAGAGATTCACCCTCAAGGACATGTATCCATCAAAATTCCTGACGGAATGGCCCCTGATGGCAAGGTACCACATGATCCGTTGCTCAAGCAGCTCACGGATATGCGGCCTGAGGGACAACCAGAAGGGCCCACGACATGGCAGGGCCCGCATAAAGCTGACGCGGCAAGAAAGTTGCATACGGATCAAGAGGAAACCAGGGTACGTGGGCAGCAGGCGAAGAAAGGTGGAACAGAGGTTTGGTCTGCGGGCATTGGACGATGTCTTGGGAAGAGAGGCCTGGGCGGGTCGTGTGCAATTCGGTCAAAAGAAAAGGCGGATAATTTTGTTTCTGGTGCTAAGAAGATATCGGTCGTCAAAAATTCCAAGGCTCTGGAGGCATTGAAGGCAGACAAGGCAAGAGTCTCCTCGAAGTCAAAGGCGTCTCGATCGAAGAGCGTCATCTCGAAAGCTAGCAAGTCCAACAAGGCAAAGGTCATAAAGGGAAAGGCTCGAAATTCTAAGAGTCTCAGTTCCAAGACCAACTCGAGGACTAGCAAGGCCAAGGCTGTTTCGAAGAGCAAGACTCGCAAGTCGAAGGGTGTCCCTTCCAAGGCTAACAAGACAAAGTCTGCTTTGAAGAGCAAAACTCGTAAGCCAAAGGGCCTCGCTTCCAAGACCAAGTCCTCCAAGTCAAAGGGCTTGAAGGCTGGCAAAGTCAACAAGGCGAAGACCACTACCAGGAGCAAGACTCGCAAGCCAAAGGGTATGCAATCGAAAGCTACCAAGGCAAAGAAGGCTGCGAAGAATAACGCCTCCAAGTCGAAGAACGCTAGAAAGGTCAATAAGGCAAAGAATGGTTCAAAAACCAAGACCAAACAGTCCAAGAGCATTTCTTCCAAAGCCGCAAAGACCAAGAAATCCAAGTCTGTCTCGAAGACCAAAGGTTCCAAGTTGAAGAATGTCTTCAATCCCAACAAGGTAAAAATGCCGTCGAAGAACAAGGCTTCCAAGTCGAAAGATGTTACCAAAAAGGCCAAGTCTGCTTCAAAGAGCAGGAACACCAAGTCAAAGAGTGTCACCAAGGCCCACAAGACGAACAAGGCCAAGATGGGCACGAAAGCTAGGGCTTCAGAGACCAATAAAGCCGGTGTCAAAAGCCGAGTTACTTCAAAAGCCGCAAAGTCTAACAAGGCCACCAAGTCGAAGGGTATCGCTAAATCTGGCACAAAGAAGACCATCACCAAACCAAAGGGCGCTTCAAAGGTCATCCCAAAAGCCAAGACTTCAAACGTGAACAAGTCGACCACAAGGGCAAAATCTACCGCCAAACCTCCCGCGAGAAAGAGTACTGCACCGAAAGCCAAATCTTCGCCTGCAAAATTCAACAAGGCTGCGCCAAAGGCTAAATCTTCTCCCGCTAAAGCCGCTCCCAAAGCTGCCGCAAAACCTAAAGCCGCTGCACCGAAGAAAGCCGCCGCCGCCCCTGCTGGCAGAAAGAAGGGACGTCGTGACTTGCACTACATGAACAGAGTGCAATTGGTCAATGATGCCATCAACGCTTACAAGCGCTCATTTCTCGAGGACGCTTAGGTTGTAAATGTTGTAGCCATGAATCAGAATTGATTCTAGATCCCCTTTAAATTTCAATCACGCGATCCATCTTCGTAAGGCGTAGTATAATTGAATCGTCTAGAGTGTTTGACAGCGCATTGTCAGCCTATACGATCTGTTCCAGGAACTGGAAGCATAGCTGAAAATCGAGTCAGCACAGCTCTTTTGATGATCGCGTTACGACGAATCTTTACCCGATGATGGTAAATTTTGTCGGCTCTATCAGTGGCGGCGGGGGCAGCGGTGGGTTAGTGCATCGCCACCGCCAGACTGTTTTTGCCCGATCCGATCTCGGATCAGTACTCGACACCGCTCAGGAGTATTCTCCCCGCTGAAATGCGAATGCAGGGATGGACTTTCATATGAAAATCTCAGCGGACACTCGTTATTAGGATATACTGACGGCCAGTGTTCAACGACTGCCTGAAGCAATATGCACATTCACATCAAGGTCAAACGAGCTCAAAGATATAATTAACGAGGATAATTTCGATGCAGCATTATAGGTGGACGTCGAGATCCGTGACATACTGGATGCAATGCAAGCTTATTCCCACTGTCTACGATGACCACGCCAACTGCAGCCGGTCCCGGTCTCTCATCTCCACAAATAGACACTTTTCCATTGCCCTCTCCGATCTCGGCATTTGTATGCAATCCGACTAGACACTAGACGCCCATACAATGGCTTGCATTTCTCCCAACTCTCTATCGAGGATGCTATATAACCTCTCCTTCTCCTCTCGTTGCAACCCCAGGCTGGTTCCCTCTTTTTTCTTTTCTTTCAAACTCACCATTTCTTTCTTTCTACAACCCTTTCTTCTTTTCACTACCATTTCTCTTTTATCCTTTTTATTTTATCTTTCTTCTTATCAACTTTCTTCTTCTGATTCATTCGAAAAACAAGCATGAAGTTGACTTCACTCGCTACGCTTCTTATCTTTTCCTCCACCACCTTCCCCTCCCTCGTCCTCGCCATCCCAGGCGATCCTGAAAACCCAGAATGGACCGCAGAAGCGCAGGAGGCCGTCGACCGAAATGACTTGCTCTTTAGAGGTGGAGGAAGCAAGACCCAAGGTGCGATGGGGAAGTTGCGGGCGCAGGATGTGGGCCCAATTGACGACGGGCACGTCACTGTGGATCCGTCAGTAATACTCTGTGTATTTTATCCTTGAGTCTAAGTGTGGTGATATAGGAATGGGGGGATTTCGACGTCGATCACTCCTGATGGAACGAATCGTATGGGCAAAGGCAAGAAGGCCAATATATGGACGTACGTCGTATTGTACCTTATACTATCCAAGTACTAACCGCAGTCATAGGAATACGCCTGAAGATATAAGGAATGCTGGATTCGAAGTACACGCCGACGCTGATACACGTATGGACCCTAGTGACCCCGAGTCAAAGCTTCACCCTCAAGGACACGTATCCATCAAAATCCCCGAGAGCAAGACCACCGATAGCAAGATTCCAGAGAGCGAGTTGCGCGACCAGCTTACAGAGATGCAGCATCCCGATAAAAAGGGAGAAGGAACAACATGGAGTGGCCCGCATAAAGCTGACGCGGCAGCAAAGTTGCATGAGGAGCAAGAGGCCAAGAAGAGCAACACTGAAGGTGGTTCTGCAAGTGGTGCTGCGGGTGGCGCTGCGGAAGGTGAAAGGTCAAAAGGGGCGAATTTTGCTGCTGGTGTGAAGGACAGGTCGGCGCTCAAGACTCTAAAGGCATTGAAGGCTAAGAAGGAAGGAGTCGCCTCAAAGCCAAAGAGCCCCGCTTTGAAAGGTGACAAGTCCAACAAGGCAAAGACCACGAAGACCAAGACACCCAAGTCGAAGACTAGCAAGCTCAACAAGGCCAAGACCGCTTTGAAGAGCAAGACCCGCAAGTCGAAGGGTGTCTCTTCCAAGACTAGCAAGGCGAACAAGGCAAAGTCTGCTTTGAAGAGCAAGACTCGTAACCCAAAGACCCTCGCTTCCAAGAAGAAATCCTCCAAGGCAAAGGGCTCAAAGGTTGGCAAGCTCAACAAGGCCAAGGCTTCTTTGAAGAGCAAGGCTCGCAAGTCAAAGGGTGTGAGCTCGAAGGCCACCAAGGCAAAGAAAGCTGGGAAGAACAAGGCGTCCAAGTCCAAGAGCGTTTCTTCCAAAGCCGCAAAGAACAAAAAGACAAAGTCTCTCTCGAAGACCAAAGGTTCCAAATCAAAAAAGGTCTCCAAGTCCAACA